CACACACATACAGAAATACAGTGCACCACACTCAGAGAGACTTTTATCAAAAGCGTTTCACTCCACCTCTTCTATTTTTTCTCTTCCTCGACCAGACGGCACTTCATTGCGTCTTTCTAGACACCCCCCCCCCTAAAAAAAAAAATTCTCATATATGATTACTCACTTAAGGAGCCCTGGATCACGACAGAGCTTTCAACACTTTCTGAACTAATGGTGTGCAGGAAGTAGTGGAAACAGAGATGGAGAAGGGGCGAAAAAGAGGCAGAGAAATATCCAACGACTCAGCGGGATAATCAACTTAGCCATTTATCCTCCGGTTTGGACAGTTGCTTTTAAGACTGCACCGAAGTTACACTTTGCCTCTTTATAGAGATGAAATGAAGCATGCACCTTAAGAGAGCTTAAATGCACAGATAGGACATATGCAATAGCAAAGTAATGGTCTGCGGTTTCTACAGACGTTCGGTTATTAGTCTGTTTGCAGTGGAAAAAAGCTTTACGTCATTTGTGTGCATGAAAGTAGACGTTTCAAGGTCAGAGATGAAAACTAAATTACCCTCATTTACTGATAAAATGCTGCATGCTGCTGACTGGAGTTAACGTTTTGTGCACAGCCTGTTTGCTTCTCATTCAAGCTATGCTAATGAGGTGCATCGAAGGCAGCTTTATACACAGCGAGAGAGATTTTTAAAATATTCTTACCCACGTTCTGTGTGTGTGTGTGTGTGTGTGTGTGTGTGTTTTTGTCTGCATGTGTGTGTGTCTACCCTGGCTCTGTGTATGACGTGAGGCTTCATGCATGGACCTGTCTGTATATTTTCAGCACAGATGGAAGCAGTTAAACTCTAATTTAACACCAACAGAAGAAGTCAGCTCAGATAACTAACAAAATCTATTAGCAAAACTATCATTCTGTTGTCATTTGGTCCGTGGGGAGAAAGCTGCTCGCAGAAGAAATTCAAACAAAAACACAGAGAGGCGAGCCAGGCTAAGGACAAAACTAACAGAAATCTAAAACACAGAGAAAAGCAGGATTTGGATGTTAAAATAAGCAGTTTCTTTAGTAAATACCTACTGAAGCTAATGCCTTATTGGGTGACCATCTGAGCACTGATGATAAAGTGCTTTCTGGTGCGTAACGCAGCAGAATGAAGTCATCGCAGACTGCTCTAAATGAAGTGGACTGGAGTCATTATAAGCAATTCAAAATGTGGGAATAATTAAATGTATGTGTGAATTACATCTGATTAGTCAATCTTAGATTCATCGTGTTTTTCAGAAGCCATCAGGATACTTATGAACAAACCACAGTGAACATGAAGTACATGTGTGATGTCTCCAAACCACATGAATGTGACTGTGGCTTCTTTGGTTTGTTTGTTAGCTTCATTAAAAACTTTATTATCACACTCTTTTTATGTACGTCTATAATCTTATAGTTAATCTTCTAATTGATTATCATTTATGAGGGTCATTTCAGCTTCTAAGAGACACAAGAGAGAACTGACTCAGATTCACATATTTTCACTCAATAAACTAAAGGGATATTACCAGTTTTCATTTCACGGTTGAATAGCAATCTTCCTATATGGTTGTCGGGGCCAGTACCCGAGTGGAACAACTTTTTCCAACCGGTCGTTCTTCTCTTCACGCGGCCAGAAACTAAATTAGATGTTTATATTTGACAGGACGGCTTAACGCAGGAAAAGTGAGAGAGAGAGAGAGAGAGAGAGAGAGAGAGAGAGAGAGAGAGAGAGAGAGAGAGAGAGAGAGAGAGAGAGCATGGAAAAGCATTTAGTTATAGGTTAAAGAACAGTCCAGAGAAAAACAAACTGAGAGTTTGAATTTGAATTTGAAGAGTTGATAAGATGATGCTTAGAAAGTGTTTACAGTCTTTACATTCAACTCTGATAAAAACCATATTATTCCAGCAAGGTCATATCATTATAACATATCTAAAGAAAATATCATCAGGTAATCAGATTAGTGTCAGACAAATCACCCCCCCGAGACATCAGAGGTATGTCTGCGTGTGTGTGTGAGTGTGTGTGTGGGTGTTTAGAGAAAGAAAGAGAGAGCAGAAAAGCCATCTGAGCATGTCCGATTAGTCTTCAGGAGATTGTTTTGACTACCAGGCCGCCCTTAAACCTCCCTCCGCCTGTTTTGACTGAACCAGCCACAGCTGTGTTTCTCAAACTGCTGCTCAGCGCTCACATGGGTTTCAGAGTCATTTCATGTAATTTGGTAAATAGTCCAATTGTCCTGCACAGTTTTGAAGTGAGATTTGTAATGCACCCACGTTCCTGTAACCTGCCTCTTGTATGTTATTCTCACTGATTAATACTTTCAGTTTTTAAAAGGAGCATCTAATCAGCACGGCTAAACTTGTCTCTTCCAGCTGGAGGTTTAATAGCAAGTGCACAAAGTGCTTTTACATCAAAATAAATCAAACAGCCACAACATGACTACCTCCCCCACCCCTACCCCACAATCCAAAACTAAGGTCAAATAACTATAAAAACAGGTACTGACGGACTGATGTCATTAAGAAGTCTGGCAGCATGGGTTGTTGTGTTATTAGCCAAAAGATAAAGATAAAGATAAACTTTATTGATCCCCCATGGGGGAAATTTTTTTTGTTACAACAGCTCAAGAAAACAGGAAACAGGAATATAATTATTAAAAATAACAAGAAGTTAAAACATATGTACATCAGTTAAATAAAGGGAGAAAAAATACAATAATAGAATAATACCAGGTATGTACACTTCCACTTGTGGAATGAGTCGTTAAAAGGTTGCTTATTTTCCTTACAGCATGAAAGAGATCATCAAGATCCTCAAAAAAACAAACTACATCTGTTTAGTCCTCTCTTTGTCCTGTTATTGAAAAATTGTTTTTGTTGTTGCAGTAGTTGTTGATTACATACACTTAAGTGTTTTCTGAGGAAGTTCATGTTAAAATGTAATTACAATTCTTCAGTCACTATAATTCTGAACTTGTTAGAAAAAAATTGCTTAAAAAAGGTAAGAAGACATTAGTTCTGTAAAACACTCAGTGTTTTGATGGCACTTGTAAAAAGTGATCACACACCAAAAATAGGCAGAAAGTTGATTAATGATCGAGCGCTAATGTAGGGAAATGTTGACTGTAACACAAAGTTTAACCTGTAAAAACTTTTTTTCCCCCAGTTTTTTATAAGTGCACACTTAAGGTGCAAATAAACCCCCAATAGCTGTTATTGTTTCAGAAGTATTTATGCTTCTTTACTTGTGTCAGACATCGTCACATAACCTGCATACAAAGTGAGCGCCAAACAAAAGAATGAAACGAGAAATTAAATCTAGCTGTAAACACTCAAAGAGGTCTTCTACCTGCAATATACATCAAATAAAGTGGTGCGCACGTTGCCAAGAACAAAATGTAATGGTTGAATTCTTAATAACATCAATATGAGAGTAATGCTCTGCTCTCCGTCCAGCTGGAGGAAGTATTGACACTGTTTGTTTATGTGTCTGCTCACACAAACCATCAATCAGTGGGAGGACTGATTCCTGTCCAGATCTTATGATCTCATTCTCTCGTTACAGAACTGATACGCTTCCAAACACCTACCCACCTTTGGTGATGTCAGTCAAACAGATTTTTCCAAACACCTACACCTTTTGCTCCGGCTGAGAGGAAATGTGGAACAGGTGTGAGGCTGATGAGAGGAAGGCGAGGGGGGACGGGGGAAGGCGAGTGTTAGACGAGACGATATGAGAGGGGGAAGAAAAGTCAGCACAGGACTGAGGTGCACAGAAGTTGATCACTTGTTGGACTTTTTCATCCAGCACCTTTGTGTACTTTTACTACCAAATTACATTTCCTGCATTCACTTCTGAAAATGGAGAGTGAGTTTTTTTTCCACATTTGTCTACCACTATTTAGTTTTGACAGATAGGCTCATTTGAGACTGATGAGTTAATCAAACATCAACTGTGAAAAATAATAAGAAAGACGAGGATGGCTTGGGTTGCACATCACTCAGTGATATTTTTTTTTTATTAATCCCCTTGACAGTGGCTTGGAAAGTGAGTGGTGGATGGTCTGAGACGTGTGGAGAGCAGAGGTTAAATGTGGAGGGAAAATGTGATGTTATTTTCCTGGCCAGATAGAGAAATCTCCCCAGCAGCCAGGAAATCAAGGCCTCTGTGTCCTGATACCACTGAGAAATGAGAAACACTTGCAGGGCTGTCAAACTCTAGCTCACGATGTCGCTTTGCATCCTATTATATCATAGTTTATAGATACTTTAATTAGCTACCACAGTCATAATTAGTGTGCAGAATGTATGCTACTGTACAAGTGTGTTTGTGTGAGTTTACTGCATGCAGCCAAGGTATATTTACTTTGGTACAAATCATAGTACAAAACTAAACCAAACATACATCTGCCACATGAACATGATTATCCTTCATTTGCCCTACATTTCCCTGAAGACTGCTTTCTCACTCAAATGTTTATTTATCAAAGTCAAGGAATGTTGCCATACCTGTCAGTGTCATGTGAAAACAGTGTCATGCCATTTGGTTAACAGTTTAAACAAAGGAAAAGTAGTGAATTAAATTTTGGCGGGATCAGAAATCAGTAAAAGTACACTGTAAAAACCAAAAGGTGCAAAAATGGTTAAAAACATAACAAACTTAAGAATTTCAATCATGGAGGACATAATTCTGCCAGTAAGGGAAATATCCGTGTGCTCTTACTGCAAAAGTTTAATGAGAAGATTAATGCCATTGACATATCTTAATGAGCCAGATGGCTGTTAGCCCAAAGCTAACAAAATTCTAGCACTTTTCAAACTCACTCGTGTTATACCGCTCTTTGTTTCTTCCATATACAAAAGTGTGAAATCTTCTTGTTTATAGCAATTCTGTCAGCTAAGTTGTACTGTTCCTTCAAGATGATTTCAGTGTTGAATGCTCAGTGATGTGAGATGTTTCTCTTTCTTGCAGAACAAAGACAGAGACAGGAAGACAGCCATCAGAAGTTAACACCGAGGACACAAAGCACACAGACAAACTGCTTCACAGCGCTCTAGTTGGTTTTTAAAATATCTCCAACTTGAAGACTCATCAGACGTGTGAGGGATTCAAAGATTTTGAAGGATTTCTTAAGCACTTCCAGGACTTTTGAAGGAACTCCACCAATCATTTTTTCTTTTGTCTCTTTTTTTTATATCACTCTACAAGAACTCTTTTTTTTTTTTTTTTTTTTTACAGTGTTTCAAATATGCTTGAAACACTCCTTTAAAGTTGAATGGTACTTTTTAAGAGCTTCCCTATGCTTATCAAGACCGTGAAGAATCTACAACAACACGTATAAGAGACTTTGTACTGTATCATTCAAAGAGTCTGAGGAACGTATGGCACATGAAAGACATATTCTTAGTCAAACAAACCTGTGTGTTATTGATGTGTAAACTGAAATATAAATGTATATTTATGTGATATAACATTATATATTGATAATATGTAATTTAACCAGCAGTCATGGCAAAATAAGAAAGGTAAAACTGTGCAAAACCCAGCACATGGCTCAATCAAAAAAAAGCATGCTGGAACTGGTGTGGTATCGGCTTATCTTTGACAATCACCTCCTGAAAATGTCATGATGCTGGGAAATAACTAAAGATGACCAATAAATGTTTTTTATATCTGGGAGTTAAATGATTTAATGTAATGTCTAAAAGTTGCTTTTATCACACGTTTGTTTGTTCATGTTGAAGGAAGTTTTCAAGTCCTACTAAATGGAAGATCCACAACAACTACACCTGCAGCCCACATCAACCGAACTCCTGCTTTGACTTTTGACCGTCACTCTTTCAATCTCTCTGTCTTTTATCTCTCTCACATACTCCATTTATTTTTCTCTTTCTCGGGGCATTGAGCTGACACAAAGAGAGACGGTTCAAAGATGAGACAGGAGGAGAGGGGTTTGAGGAGCAGAGGAAAGAGGAAAGAGTGAGGAAAAAAAACGAGGGGAATTGAATCTGCAGGTACGGCTGCTTGGACATCTGCCTGTGTCCCCTTGCTGTCCTCTTCTTTACCTTTACACATGCTCTTCTCCTCCGCTCCTCCTCTGCTCTTCCTCTCTTTTCCCTGGAGGGCCACTGGACCGGGTCTGGCTGGTGATGACTTTCCAGCGTGTTTGAGCTACGCACCATTTACTTTCTTCCTCTCCTCCTTTTCCTATCTATCTACGTATATATCTATCTATCTATCTATACAGATTTGTCTGAATGTATGAACTACACTCAGATGTCTTTCAAAGGTTTCCACCATCACGATCACGATCACATCCACAACCGGAAGTAAGACGAAGAAGAAAATAAACGTTCTGTGACAGAAATGGAGGTGCTTGTGAATGAAGTGGAAGGTCAGGAAGCACATAGCGTTTGTTTGCTACAGCAGTAGGGTCACAAAATAAAATCAGGTTGTAACGGACGTTTCTGCTGCATTCACGCGTCATCCTGCGGTGCTAAACTATCCTCCATTCATCATTACCCATGAGTGTTTCGATATTGTCACAGAATCCACACTGATATCTTCATATACTGCAGAGTTCTCACATCAGTCAGCAGTCAATGATTATGATGATGTGGATCTGTGGGTAAAGTTTAGTAGTTTATTGGGAAAACATAGTGAGAAGCATCGATACACATTCTACAGGCTTCAATTCACCACCTTACTGTCTGTGTCACAGCACGACCCTTACCTGTGATTATTGGCTTACATTAGAGCATGAATCACATGTTAATAATAAATTCAGTTAATATTGATAATATCTAGATTATATTTTGGAATTCATAGAGAACATGCTCTGTTTGCCCTACATTTAGAGCATGACATAATATTTGGGACTAAAAAGAACAGATACTAGTAGCAGCAGTCCTTAGAGTGACTTGCATCGTTTTACAGTAACATGCATCATTAAGAGTTACCCAGCCAAACAAGTACAGTTTGCTGACAGTATCTGTTTGATTTGTTTATGATAGCCCACGTCTTGTAGAGCTGTGTTGTATGTCCTTGACGCTGGCTCCCATGTATGTCAGTCCTTAAAACATAAAAACCATCTGACAACTTCCGATAATCAGTGTCTTGGATATGAACACAAAATTGTAAGCGTCAGAAGATTTTTAAGCCCTGTATTTCCGGCCATTTGGTTGGACTGCAGACCGACTGAGCAGACAGTGAGTATGGGTAAACCTAAGTCCATTTCCAAGAGTAAGCTTTTCACTATATGACACCTTGATTTGCCACTGAGAAACTATTAAAATAACCCGAGAAGGCGTCCAGTTGGTCCATAACTTTCTGATCAACCAGCAGTATTATTTTGTGGCGGAAGGTCTATGGATTGCTATACTGTAGCTACCGCTAGCTTACGTTTTGCCACCAGTTTGGCTCAGCCCACCAAACACATCATCGCTGTTTATAAACACAAAAATGGTCTACAGGAGAACAACATCACTGTAGTTATGAATACTAAGTTTACATTTACTGCTGACAGTGTTTTCTTGACGATACCCCATGCATCAGAATCACACAACAGACACTAATTTCACTGGTTTAATAATAAAAGCATTTATTTTAAAATACAAGTAAATACCATAAAGCAGCTGGTCTGTGGTAACCTGGGCACAAAGAGTAGCAGGGGAATGTTTGGGTAGCTTAGCAACAGTCTAGTTTCAGGTACAATTTGGAAACGGTTGAGTTGGTGGAGTTAAAATATGATCTGTTGTTGATTTTATATATCACAGTCAACGTCCAGATGCTGTTCACTTGATATCAGCACGGCTGTGGTTTGATTATAAACACAAGGTCGTATTCAGCCCAACATCACTCCCTCTTGTGTGATATTACTGAACTAAAAATCTAATTTCATGGAAAAAACAAGAGATGTTGTTCACTGAAAATGAGTCATGCTAGTACTTTGTACAGACAAAAATGGCTTTAGAGTTAAAGCATCATATAATTCAGTCTATACCCTTTCTATGGTGTCCTAGCTCAGCATTTTGATCCTCATAACAGCATATTTCTTTTGCCATTTTCCACCATTAAGCTGAATGTAAATGAGCCTTTCTTTTAATGGAGGCTATCCCCAGTACAGCTCCAGTTAACTGTTTCCAAATTCTTTTTTAACAATGCTAACAAGCTGTTTCTGCGACTCAGGTGCCAATAATGGAGTCTTTTTTTCCTTCAATGTGACAAGTGCCTGGTAAAGAAAAACAACCAACAAGAATTGAAATGTCCCTTGATTGCACGGCCAAAACACAGTTTTTAGTGGAAGCCACTCTTTAAACAAATCAGATTTATTGTGTGTGTAATTTCACAAACACCCAGGAACTATAAACAGTACTGCACACATGCAGTCGACCTAAGGGCTGAGGCTACTGATGTCATGTTAACTATATGAAATAACTTTAAAGTTGATGAAAGGGGAATCCTTGTGGCAATAAATATATAATTACACAGTTAACAGCATGCTTAAAAAGTGTAGAAAAAATCAGGAACTGCATTCCAAGATTGTTGCAAAACCCTTCCTGCTAAATTTCTTATACCAAAGACAAAATGTTCTGGCCTGCTCTGCTTAAAATGCCCTTTAGATTCAAGTGCATGAGCAACATTTTTCCTTCCAAAACCTAACACTGGAAACAAAAGACTAAATCTCAGGGCACAGTTTGAGGGTAAGTGGTCCCTGCTGCTCACTGGTTCCTGAGACAAAGGTTTAAAAGTGCCTTGTGTCTTGTTTAAAAGATCTGAGACGTCAATAATCTTACTGCTGAAGGTTTTTTTTTTTTTTAAAGGAAGCAATAGATTAAAAAAATAAAATAACTGTGTGTGTCTGTATCCTAATGACTTCTGGTCCAGTTAGTCTGAGAGTCTGATCTCTCTAGCAGAGCGTCTGTCTGAGCAGCAGAGAGCGCGGAAAAAGGAACCAGTTCCTCCCACACAGACCAGATCAAGTTCCCCCAACGCCTACACAAGCACAACTTAACACACACACGGATGACCATTCACACACTCATACTCCAATGAACTTACATATGCACAAATAGATGGACGTCGGCTTGCTCGTGCTGTCGCACGCTCACATGCACACACTGCGTTAAGCAGAAAGATCTGTGATATAGCTTATATGTCTAATGATCTCTGGGTTTCACATTGATGAAAACAGATCAGCTGAGAGGGCAGACTGCTGCAGTGTAGTTAAGTGGGCGGTTTTGGACCAAGGTGAACCGGAGGTTGGACGATTGACTGGCTCTTATTATCAATAAAATGGTTTCTGACAATGATGCCCCCGTGGAAATCTGGCGTGTGAATACTGATAGCTGGAGTAATAAAAAGCAGCTTTTGTCTTGGCATGTACGGGTGGTGCCAGAGCCAGAGGGGCTGCAGGATGGAGCCTGAAGAATGAATTTGTTGAAAACTGGATGAACTTAGTTGAGGTATGAATATGGAGAATGACTTGTGATTTATTGTAATCATTTATTCAAGAATATAGGCTATAACACATCACATCAAGGCTTTATGTGTCTTGTGAGCTCAACAAAAACAACAATTATACGGCCAATCTGTCTTCTCATTTCACGTGAGTGTAGGATATGGCTGATTGAAAAAATAATATCAAGTTTGATCCTTTGTGTTTTCTTTGCAACGTCATTGCAGTTATCATAAGCTGTAGAGCTAATTCTCTCTGTTTTCTCTGTTCCCTATCTGTACTCAATCAGTCTTTCTGCACATTCAGCATCCTTACAAATTGTTCTGAGAAAATTAAAGAGAATAACCCAGGGCATGATGGTCTTGATGAAATTGCTTCTAGTCAGTTCCACAACTACTTAAAATAAGTCAAGTAATGGTTGCAGATAATGTTAAGTCAGCAAAGGAGTACCTCAGGGATCTATCCTTGGGCCACTTTGTTGCCAATGTATATCGACTTAAGTACATAAACACTGTTCAATTAATCTTTATGCTGATGACATAATTATATTGTTTTCATATGTACAATTTTACCATGTACCAACAGCTATTTTGCAGTTAAAGATTGCTTTTAATTCAATCCTCCAAGCTCTGGATAGCCTTAGCCCCAATTCACACATACTCTGTGCGCGCCGCAGTCCGTCAGTGCCACGGTTTTGCTCCTTTGGACGGCTTGCGCCCATTCACACTGGATCCGTTTCTGGGAC